CATAGTTATCATTTATATTCAATGGATCAGAAAAGGCATTTGGAGCATGGATCGAAACATTCTCAATGTTTCTATATTTTGTCCTTGTTTAATGAGTAATCATCAAAAAATGTAAAGAATAATAGATAGGTAGGTGCTTTATGAAATTAATGATTCTGAATTTCCATACATGTATAAGAGGATTATACGCTGTCTCCCTAGACATCTTGAAGAAAATTCAAATGACATAAAAGTCAATGATACTGAGGTAATGATACCTCGATTATATCAAATATCTTTCAGATATTCCAGTCTCGGCAAAATTGAGAACATATTCATGCAAAATCAGGAACAATGTTCATTATTATTTTTATCAAAATGACTCCCTCTCGAATTCTCTTTATATTCTAAACATTCTATTATCGCATTTTTTTTGGCACACGCTGTAAAATGAAGGTTCGTGCAAGTTTATACTTGAATGGTGAAGATTCAGCTTGTCTGGCTGGTATTGTAGGGTATTATGATAACGACTTGCTGCTTCGGCACTCCGAATGACTCATTCCCAAATACCTGAGGTCTCGTCCACCTTTTCCACCTTTGCATCTTGTAAAAGGTGTGTTTAGTTTACAGAAGGATGGTCAAAAACAATCACAAACAGTGATTTGATAATCGGAATACCTATAATAAAAGTTTTATATAGGGCACCAGATTCCTCAGGATAACGATTTAGGGTGTTTAAAAGGCAGTGGCGTAATTAGGATTCATCCGTGGGGGGGTCTAAGTCCAATATCCAATATTTAGAAAAAAGAAGAAGAAGAGTCATTTCAAAAAATCATTCAAGGAAAAATCAAGCACGGTCATCGATTGGCTGATAATTAGGAAGCTCTGCTTATAATTCTGCTTTCGGCGCCTTTTGGTAACATATCATCAGTAAACATAACCAGATTCAATTGTCATCCCTTTGTACCTATACTACCTAATGTCCTAAATATAGGACGGCCAGATTTTAGTACATATATACATATATATACATAATTTATTTCGACCTCAGTCAGATGAAATGTCGAGCATTCAAAATTCTGAATTCCTCAAAAAAGATTACGGCCTCGCTTACGGCATATCTGGGTTGAAATGCATTATTTTCCTGAGTGTAATAGGGAAAGAAAATTGCTTTTCTCGCTACAATAACGAAGGTTATTACATCATAACATCTATTCCCCAACCACAATCTTGCATGACTTAATTTTCTGCTTGAACACGATATGAAGCACGGCCATCCATTGGCTGATAATTAGATAGCTGTGAACTTTGAAGACTTCATTAAGCCAATCTGCTTTCGGCGCCTTTTGATGTTTGCGAAAAAATGTAAACCACTCACGTACTTAGACTTAGTATAAACATGTATAAATATCATCGACGTGCCGCCATATGGCAGTGATTCACCAGAAAATTCAATCTTTTTCAAGGATTAGTGAGAGGATACAGCAGTGGCAGACTTTTCACTGACAGGAATTTATGTAAATAAATAGTAAAATAGTAGTTTAAAAAACTAAAGTGAATTGAAAGTGAAAAAAAGAAAAAAAACTTCATTTTACTTTACTTCACGCGAATCACGAATCGTCAATCCGTATAATTAATCAATCATTTAGCGTGGTACTTATCCGTATACAATGCCATATTAGTTATGTGAGTATAGAAAAAATATTTCATATACTTCTCATAACAGTTGGTATTTTAGAAAGAGATTTTCGAGTTCTTGCAAGTAATTTAGTTTTGTATATTTGAATTTAGCTCATATTCAATATGGTTATCGGCACACGATTTTCAAAGGTATCCGATTCTATTTACCTCAATAAACATCAAACATTATAAATTACAGCAATACAGCCTAAGAAAACCAAACGGAAATAATTACTGTAATGGAAACAAGAAACAGAAATATCCACAGATGTAAGCAAAAACGTGGTTTATATCGGTTCCATAAAAAACTTGAAAAACACCGAGGTGTTTCATCTTACTAAATCGTTTCCTAGATAAAAACTATCAGGATAAATTAAAGTGTTGACGAGAATCAAGTCGTCACGTGATACCACCTACTACCTACATATCGCAAAAGAGATAGCTTTGTCGGTGTTCGAGAAAAACGTTCTTTCTCTATCATACGCCGACTATTTTGCTGATACACCATCACCCACTTTATTCGAGAAATGTGTCAGTTGGGCGTATGTTGATCATCTTGATCTTTCATCTACGATTTCTAATTTTCCATGACTTTTCCGCACGATTTCACCCATTTCACAATGGGCTTATATCACAAAAAATTTTATTTCATAATTCGATAGAACTCACCCCAACTAGCTCACCACCGCAAACCGTTTCTTGCTGTGAGCTCCCTACGTTGTATAAAAAATTATTGAAATCCCCGATTTTCGGACCTCTGAAAACGAGGCGATGATGTGACGTCAAAACCCTAATACTGAAACAAGACTATTCCAGACATAGATGAATGATACGATACATGATTTCTGATAGAGTGAATTCGCGCGAGATCACAGTTGAAAGAATTAATATATCAGTTGCCTCAATCTCCGTCGGGCATTTGGTATTTTCTTTTAACTATGGCGAGATGAGGTTTCTACGTCATAAGAGGGTCCGTTTTCAGAAGGTACTATTATTTATGTCCAAAAATAAAACATTCCAGTTAATTTTTCGATCGAATTATGTCGTCAATCATTATTTATGTATGAAAGGATCCTTATAAACATGGTTTGAGTTAAAAGTTCTACTAAGGTGTACACGCCCATTGAAGACCTCGGTGCAAGAACCGGACAACCCCATTTTATGCCGAAATTGGGTTATTGAACTGTGGTTATTGTATTAAACATATAGAATTTTTTCTTGCGCATCTTTTGGTGCAAGAATCAAGCGAATCCAACAGTGTCCTATCAAGTTAACACGGGAAAGGATTTACCTGATGAGCCATAGAGGTGCAAGAGTCGGGCAACTCCAGGAGTTACCCGATTTTAGCACCGAAATGTAAGCTATGACGGTGCTATAGTCGGGCAACTCCAGGAGTTACCCGATTTAAGCACCGAACTGTACGCGTGTAGTGGGAGTTGTCGGAGTGAGGTTATTAGCGGCAAGCCTTCCCGCGTCTTCCATCGTGTGTGGCGTGATTAGTTTGATTGGTTTGATCATTTGTTTCATGCAATACAATGTAATGTCGTCGGAAAGTGAAAGTAAGCCCTTTCAAGATTCGGGGAGTAAATATATTCCAAAAACATAACTGTTGACGACGAGGACCCAAATTCCGGAAATGTTAACGAAGATCAAGACGCAGGAAACGTCAGCGATTCTTCCTATGTTCAAAATATTTTTCGTTATGTATTTCATATTCAATGAAAAAGCAAAATTATCACACAAGTTTGACTATATTTTCAGAATTTTGTCTTTTTGGCTTCATTCTGACAGGTTATGGTTTTGTTATTTATGCATCGAAATCATATACGTATTAATAATCAATACGGATAATCTCTATCTGTTTCCATAGCGAAACATGAAGCCGATTTTTGAAGACAAATGACTATCCATAAGGAAAAGTTTTGAAACGATCAGACACATACTGCTTTGATTGAAAGGCTAGTAAACGTCATTGTCCACCGAAACGCATGTCTTTGATGACTACTATCATGGCGCATGCGTATCATGCCACCAAATCCTTATGGATATTCATTTGTTTCATATTTTTGGCTTCATCCTGGCACCCGTTATGATCCGTATTGTTTATTAATACGTATATGATCGAAATACCTCGAATAGAGCTCGATCCTAAACGAAAATATCATTGAATCAATGAATCAATATCGGCTACATTCAAAGATGCTTTCCTTTCTAATTTTCTGCCATCGGTCAGAACAGAATGAAGCCGACACCCATGGCTCCTTCCTTTTGTTGTGCCTGTCAGTATTTTGAGTGGTGTAGATGGACGCGAAGTATTAGGCGCTGTTGCAAGATATAATCTACAACTTTCCTAAAAAATAGATCCCTTTTATTAAGGAACGAATTCATTAATTATTCATAAGTTATGAATAACGTATTGTAATATAACGATAGTGAAAAATTATAGATACTATCGCAAAATATAATAATTTATCTTTATTAGTAATCAACTTCATTCAGCCAATGAGAGATTTATAGGAATTATTCATAATAATTCTTGACAAAGTAGGATTGAATAACCTATTATATCCCATTGCTGTTATGATATAGGTATTTGCATTCAACCATTTCGGAAATCTAGACATATTGATGATGTCGGCAACGTCGTACTGGCATAGGGAATCGTATTTTAACTCTGTGTGAATGTGGATTTTCAGAAAGTAAGTCATAGGAATGGTGGAGGAGCCAAGTTCCTCTTTTATTTATTTTTTCTGAAGTGGAATTTGATCTTACAAAAAAAAGAAAAAATACGTATATATTAATTTTTTACAAACTTCACAGTGAGCTAAAAACTTCAATAAAGGAAACTTCCCCATTATTAGTGAATTTAGCGGAATTTTGTCTTCTGGAGAATTAGGTTATTGATCCGTGGGCCCAGTTGATTTTTCCCGAACGTTTCACCCACTTCTTCGGTCTTTAAAGAGTATAGAAGAAGTGTCTAGACTTTCATCACGGCTTTAATTACTCTGGAGATGTGAACCCAGCACGACTTCGCTGACACTTCAATCTGCAATTATATAGAGTGCTTCAACACGCTACTTCGACGATGTGGGAAATTAGGGATGGATCCGTTTTCACATATACAGGGTGTTTCCTAACTACCCCGCACCTGTAAATGATTAAGTCAAATCGAATTACCCACTTGAACAAAAATCTTGTGAATTCTGAAATATCAACTCAAATTATATGACGGAAGCGCTTTTGGAATTGATTCATCGAATATTGGAAAATTATTGATAACGTGATAAATGTTTTAGATTGTGCTGTTTCATTCATGTAATTTTTATGTTTTTGTTTTGTTTCAGGTGATATGTGTGGAGATTCCTGTTGTACGAAGGAGCTAGAAAAAGAAGCGTACAAATATAACCAAATATTAGTAGATAAATATATTAGGAGTTCAATCTCGAAGGTCTCATCTATATTAGATATCAGGGCTCGAAAATTTGATGGTGAGTATATACACTTTGATTTCAAAAAGGAAATACTTAGAAGGAAATGATTATATTCATTGTCGTCCATATCATAATAGTCCAAAGATAATTTAGCTAATCCAGTGTGAACCACTTTGGGCATTATCCTCTGCATCAATATAAATTTATTGCCCACTAACTCTGCATAAGGTAAGACATTCTGCTCTAAAATGTCAATGTAAATTTGGGCATTCATCGACTGTCTCACTGGAAAAATATGAAGGGGTGTCTTTCCATTCATTGAAATCCCTCCCCACACCATAACGGACCCACCATTAAAACTTTCGCATTCTGTTATTAAATTTTGATTAAACCGTTCACCAGTTCTTCTCCACACTCTTTTTCTCCCATCCACCATGTTAAGGCAAAACCTTGACTCTTCCGTAAACAAGACATTCGACCATTCAGGAATATTCCACTTTCCATAATTTTCAACAAAATTTCTTCTAGCAGCACGATGTTCGGGCAATAATTTGGGACCTTTTGCAGGTCTCCAAGCTTTCAAATTAACTTCTTTTAGACGTCTACATACCGTCTGCTTACTTACTGCAACATCACGAATTTGGCGAAGATCTTGCTGAACATTTACCGCAGTATTTGATCGATTACGTAAAATCCGCAATCTCAAGAAGCGACCAGACCAGAACCGACCCTCCGAGCGGTTCTTTCTGTTTGTTCGTACTTCGGATTGCTCTACGAGCAGTTGCTTCATGAACTCCCACTGCACGAGCGGCGTAACGTTTACTACGCCCATCGTTTACTAACGCAACTAATCTTGCTACTTGTTCAGGATTTATTTGAGGCATTTTATGTAATTTTAGTCAATAAAACAAGACACTTAATCAATGACACAACGACAAATGGTCAAATATAGAGGCATAAAACAAATTAGTTGCTATGGCAACGGCATTCGTTTTTTTAAAGACAATGTGATACTTCCAGAGTACAACCCAATCAATTTCGAGTACTCTGATCCTTCAATAAATTTAATTTGTGGGATAAGCGTAAGGTATCAGCAAAAAAGCTGTAATTCGGAAAATTTTAGAGATAAATCAATGAATAAAAAATCAAAATGCTCGCAAAAGAAGCCTCTTTCGTATAGGGTGTAAGCACTTTGTATACCATTACTCAATTAACACACAGGGTGAGTAAAAAAAAATTAAGAATAAATCATGGTTCGAGTTATTTCACCACCATCAAGGAGGCTTTGAAAAAATTTTCACCTCCTTATTTTTTTTTAAAGACAAATGCATTACCTACCAACAAATAAAAAAAAATGGGCCTATTATTTTTTTTTAAGAAGATAGGTCAAATATCAAGTGCGTCACTTTTTTTGGAACTGAGTGTATTTGCTACGTTGAACATTGAATTATACCTGTTGAACATCCAAAAAGAGAGCATGAAATATGAAAATCATCTGAAACTGAGAATTGACATCATCTCTCAAATCGGATAAAATAATATGATGTATTATTATGAAAAAAAAAAGAAGATTAATACACTGTTTTTTTTATAGAACATTTCCAGGGTATGATGAAACAATCGAAGAAGGAGTTCCACGAGATGTTCGAGCGAACGTACGGCAAAATCTATCTGCAGAACTCCGACGTCTTCATCGACTTCTTCGTGGAGTTGGAGACCTACTACAGGAAGGGCACTGTGAGACTGTCTGAGACCATGGACACCTTCTTCGGGATATTGTACCAGAGGATGTTCAAGGTGATCAATGCGCAGTACATGTTCGATGATGCCTATCTGGAATGCGTATCAGGTAACGATAAGATTTCCACCTAAAGCATTTATTCGAAATAGTTATCATTCCTTATTAATTTCGATATAAATATTCCCAATCATTCCTCAGGTCACATGACCGACATGAAACCGTTCGGCGACGTGCCGCACAAGCTCGGCATCCAGCTGCGGCGCTCCTTCGTCGCCACCAGGACGTTCCACAAGGCGTTGGTGCGTGGCGCCGAGGCGGCCGACCGGCTAGCCGATCTCAAGGTCAACGCCGACTGTTACGCCGCCAGCGCCGCCATGCGGTACTGCGGGGCGTGCAGGGGGCAGCAGGAAAGTGGCGGGGGGGTGTGCTCGGGGTACTGCACGAAGACGATGCAGGGGTGTTTCGGGGTGTACGGGGAGGTGTCGCCGTCCTGGGACAGTTTCGTGGGTAAGTTCAAATGTTTAGATAACATGTGAGTTTGGCTGTGCACTGAGTAAAAACATGTTTGTAGCCATTACTGAACATATAGTAACTACGGTAAAACAATTGAGTACGATAGGGGACAGCAAGGCTATGTTGTTGCTGGAACTAATTTTGAGGTTTTGGAAACACCTATTTGTACCAAATGGAAAGCTTAGTCACAAGGTTTTTGCGGTTAGTTAGGGTTACTACTAATAGTTATAGTAGCAGATTGATTGTATTTGTATCAAACAAATAAATTAGTTGAATAAACAAATAATGTAGTTATCACTACAAATAGTTTTTTCGTTGCAATAAATAATTGATGGGTACAAAATATACAGTGTGGTTATTTAAGTGTGCAACATATGAGAATCTTTTTAATGAATTGCACAACCCAAATACAGATAGTGCCGAAAGTTGGTGCATGTTTGGTGATCATTTTAGATGCACTTAGAATAGTTGCAAGTCAAACAGCATACAGGGTAGGTCAAAAAATTCAGCAAAATGTTATCAAGTTGTTAACAATTGAAAGTTATGCCTAGATACCAAAACATGGCCTCTTGAAATATTCTTTAGTTCCTCAACGTTGATAATTTCCCAATTTGTAAATTTCGTCATATTCACTCTAAACACTTTCAAAAGTTGATCATAACCAGAACAGTTGATCATACCTCTGTTCAAATTCAAGCATATTTTTGCAATTAACTTGGATTTTAATTTATTTAGAGAATCACTAACTTAATGTTTGTTGCAACGATATTCAGCTTAACTTAGAAATTTCGCGAACCATATTTTCAACAAGGTAAAACATAATTAATGATCATTTCAAAATAATCACCGATACCCAAGGAACAAAACAAATGAGGGTTGACAGTAAACATTGAGGCTGTTTGGTGACATTAACTTCTTATCTAATGATGTTTTGCCTTGTTAAAAATATGGTTTGCGAAATTTTAAAATTTAGCTAAATATCGTTTCAACAAACCTAAAGTTTGTGATTCCCTAAAAACATGAAATCCAAGTTAACTGCACAAATATGCTTGAATTTGAACAACAGTATGCTCAACTGATTATGTTATGATTAACTTATGAATATGTTTGGGGTGAATATAAAAAAAAAATCAAATTGGGAAGTTATTAACGAAAAAAATTTAAAAACCAAAATATGTCTTAGGAGGCCATGTTTTGGTATTTAGGCATAACTTTCAATAGTAAACAACTTTTCTCTATAACATTTTACTGAATTTTCTGAAATAAGGGTACTTTACTCTTGAGCAATATTTATATTTTTTGACCTACCCTGTATCCTGTTTGACTTGCAACCATTCTAAGTGCACCTAAAATGATTACCGAGCATGCACCAACTCTCGGCACTACCTGTATTTTAGTTGTGCAATTCATAAAAAAGATTCCCATATGTTGCACACTTAAATAACCACACTATTGCGTGAACCGCTGATTTCGAAAATCTTGAGGGAGAGTTCTCTATCAAATCTGACATTGATTTCTTTCTTTATGGGTCTGAATTAGTGTCTTTGATTTTTTTTGGGATTTTTAGGCCAATCAGGAGACAAATATTTTTTGACCTATATGAGTCTACTGCATTGCGTGAACCGCTGATCTCGAAAATCTTGAGGGAGAGTTCTCTATCAAATCTGACATCGAAATCTTTATTTATGGGTCTGAATTAGTGTCTATGTATTTTTGGGATTTATAGGGTAATCAGGAAAAAAATATTTTTTGACCATTATTAGCCTACTGCAAATTGCGTGAATCGCTGACTTCGAAAATCTGAAGGAAGAATTCTCTATCAAATCTGACATCAAATTCTTTCTTTATGGGTCTGACTTAGTGTCTATGAATTTTTTGGAATTTTTAGGGCAATCAGAAAAAAAAATATTTTTTGACCATTATCAGCCTACTGCATTGCGTGAACCGCTGATTCCAAAAATCTAAAGGGAGAGTTCTCTATCAAATCTGACATCGAATTCTTTCTTTATGTGTCTGAATTAGTGTCTATGAATTTTTTGGGATTTTCAGGCCAATCAGGAGAAAAATATTTTTTGACCTTTATCAGTCTACTGCATTGCGTGAACCGCTGATTTCGAAAATCTTGAGGGAGTGTTCTTTATCAAATCTGACATCAAATTCTTTCTAAATGGGTGTGAATTAGTGTCTTTGAATTTTTTGGGATTTTTAGGGCAATCAGGAAAAAAATATTTTTTGACCATTATCAGCCTACTGCATTGCGTGAACCGCTGATTCCAAAAATCTAAAGGGAGAGTTCTCTATCAAATCTGACATCAAATTCTTTCTTTATGGGTCTGAATTAGTGTCTATGAATTTTTTGGGATTTTTAGGGCAATCAGGAAAAAAATATTTTTTGGCCATTATCAGCCTACTGCATTGCGTGAACCGCTGATTCTGAAAATCTAAAGGGAGAGTTCTCTATCAAATCTGACATCAAATTCTTTATTTATGGGTCTGAATTAGTGTCTATGAATTTTTTGGGATTTATAGGGTAATCAGGAAAAAAATATTTTTTGACCATTATCAGCCTACTGCATTGCGTGAACCGCTGATTCCAAAAATCTAAAGGGAGAGTTCTCTATCAAATCTGACATCAAATTCTTTCTTTATGGGTCTGAATTAGTGTCTATGAATTTTTTGGGATTTTTAGGGCAATCAGGAAAAAAATATTTTTTGGCCATTATCAGCCTACTGCATTGCGTGAACCGCTGATTCCAAAAATCTAAAGGGAGAGTTCTCTATCAAATCTGACATCAAATTCTTTATTTATGGGTCTGAATTAGTGTCTATGAATTTTTTGGGATTTATAGGGCAATCAGGAAAAAAATATTTTTTGACCTTTATCAGCCTACTGCATTGCGTGAACCGCTGATTCTGAAAATCTAAAGGGAGAGTTCTCTATCAAATCTGACATCAAATTCTTTCTTTATGGGTCTGAATTAGTGTCTATGAATTTTTTGGGATTTTTAGGGCAATCAGGAAAAAAATATTTTTTGGCCATTATCAGCCTACTGCATTGCGTGAACCGCTGATTCTGAAAATCTAAAGGGAGAGTTCTCTATCAAATCTGACATCGAATTCTTTCTTTATGGGTCTGAATTAGTGTCTATGAATTTTTTGGAATTTTCAGGCCAATCAGGAGAAAAATATTTTTTGACCTTTATCAGTCTACTGCATTGCGTGAACCGCTGATTTCGAAAATCTTGAGGGAGTGTTCTTTATCAAATCTGACATCAAATTCTTTCTAAATGGGTGTGAATTAGTGTCTTTGAATTTTTTGGGATTTTTAGGGCAATCAGGAAAAAAATATTTTTTGACCATTATCAGCCTACTGCATTGCGTAAACCACTGATTCCAAAAATCTAAAGGGAGAGTTCCCTATCAAATCTGACATCAAATTCTTTATTTATGGGTCTGAATTAGTGTCTATGAATTTTTTGGGATTTTTAGGGTAATCAGGAAAAAAATATTTTTTGACCATTATCAGCCTACTGCATTGCGTGAACCGCTGATTCCAAAAATCTAAAGGGAGAGTTCTCTATCAAATCTGACATCAAATTCTTTCTTAATGGGTCTGAATTAGTGTCTATGAATTTTTTGGGATTTTTAGGGCAATCAGGAAAAAAATATTTTTTGGCCATTATCAGCCTACTGCATTGCGTGAACCGCTGATTCCAAAAATCTAAAGGGAGAGTTCTCTATCAAATCTGACATCAAATTCTTTATTTATGGGTCTGAATTAGTGTCTATGAATTTTTTGGGATTTATAGGGTAATCAGGAAAAAAATATTTTTTGACCATTATCAGCCTACTGCATTGCGTGAACCGCTGATTCCAAAAATCTAAAGGGAGAGTTCTCTATCAAATCTGACATCAAATTCTTTCTTTATGGGTCTGAATTAGTGTCTATGAATTTTTTGGGATTTTTAGGGCAATCAGGAAAAAAATATTTTTTGACCATTATCAGCCTACTGCATTGCGTGAACCGCTGATTCCAAAAATCTAAAGGGAGAGTTCTCTATCAAATCTGACATCAAATTCTTTCTTTATGGGTCTGAATTAGTGTCTATGAATTTTTTGGGATTTATAGGGTAATCAGGAAAAAAATACTTTTTGGCCATTATCAGCCTACTGCATTGCGTGAACCGCTGATTCCAAAAATCTAAAGGGAGAGTTCTCTATCAAATCTGACATCAAATTCTTCATTTATGGGTCTGAATTAGTGTCTATGAATTTTTTGGGATTTATAGGGTAATCAGGAAAAAAATATTTTTTGGCCATTATCAGCCTACTGCATTGCGTGAACCGCTGATTCCAAAAATCTAAAGGGAGAGTTCTCTATCAAATCTGACATCAAATTCTTTCTTTATGGGTCTGAATTAGTGTCTATGAATTTTTTGGGATTTTCAGGCCAATCAGGAGAAAAATATTTTTTGACCTTCATCAGTCTACTGCATTGCGTGAACCGCTGATTTCGAAAATCTTGAGGGAGTGTTCTCTATCAAATCTGACATCAAATTCTTTATTTATGGGTCTGAATTAGTGTCTATGAATTTTTTGGGATTTATAGGGTAATCAAGAAAAAAATATTTTTTGACCATTATCAGCCTACTGCATTGCGTGAACCGCTGATTCCAAAAATCTAAAGGGAGAGTTCTCTATCAAATCTGACATCAAATTCTTTATTTATGGATCTGAATTAGTGTCTTTGATTTTTTTGGGATTTTTAGACCAATCAGGAATAAAATATTTTTTGACCTTTATCAGTCTACTGCATTATGTATACCGGGTGTTTCCGAAAAACGGTTCATTCCTAGAACTTTTTCGTTTATGCAGATAAACAAATGAAATTCGTTGTGCGAGTATAGTACATGAATATGCATCATTTGGTATACTCAATTGTTTTGTCACCTCTGGTTTGACCGGAAATGACCCTTTTTTTCTTATTTCAAATGGGACACCTAGTATATTTTTACTTATTTCGATTGTGATGCAGAAAGGCATCTCTTGCATACAGATGCCCTATGACACAAAACATAATTTCTGCTCTCGCCAGGAGGACCATAAAGAATGAAATTAAAAATTGATTGGCCTTGTGAAAGAATGAATGCATCAAATTTTTTTGATTTCATCATTTCTGGTCCTCCTGAGAGCAGATCCGTTTTTTATCGTTTTTTTGAGTAGATGAAATTTCAAATTTGTCTAAAGTGTATTGATCCAAGAGAGTCCGAATGACTTCAAAAGGTCTGACTTTTTCCGACTTTTTCATAGAAGTCTCAACTTATTCCAACCCTGATCCCTATTCTCCTCTCCAGACGCGATCGACAAGGTATCAGAACGCCTTCTCGGCCCCTACAACATCGAGATCGTGGTCGAACCGCTCAACATCAAAATCTCCGAGGCCATCATGAACTTCCAGGAGAGCGGGCTGAACGTCTCCCGCAAAATCTACTCGCTGTGCGGTAAGCCGCCCCAGTACAGCCGCCCGAAGCGCGATGGACCGCCCGCAGTGGGTTTTGACAGCCGCCCGAAGCGCGAGGGGGCGGGGCTAAGGGAGGGGCCGCCCTCTGAGGGGTTGGAGATCGAGATCGAGCCGATGCGAGGGACGGGGGGGAGAAGAAAGCATAAGAAGACTGCGGCGACGGTTGAGAGCCGGTCCGCGTTGGAGAAGATCATTTTGGATATCAAGCAGGTGAATATACAGGGTGTATCTTAATAGGCGATTCATGCTAAGGAGTACTCCCTCTACCGTTGTCTGATATAACTAACGTATGGGCCATTGATTGCTTTGTTTACATTAGTTTGCGTGTATTTTGTATAAGAAGTAGTTGTGTTTTAATTGTCTATTATTTTGTTTGAGAACTTCTATAAACGTTTAAAAACATGAGTCATTATTGTTGTGTACCTGATTGTTCACCTTGAGCAAAAAAATCCCGAGTATAGCTTTCAATCCTTTAAAATATCAGGACAGTCTAAATTAGCATTTGAAACTAATAATTTGGGAAATAAGGAAGTGATCGGTAGGAGAAAGGTGTGGATTCATAACTTGAAGATTGGAAAAAGTGTCTGAACATAATGAGAGATTGTTTTTTACACTTCACTGAAAATGTACTCATATATATATTCCCAAATGTATGTCTATTATGAATATAATACCTACTTCTTGGGGTGATGGTAAAAAAACAAACAAATTTTAAACTGAATATATCTTTACTCATGAACAGTAGAATTTTTAAACAGTAAAGAATTTTATCAATCAGGGTTTTGATGATTATGTTGTAAAAAGTCAAGTAGAAACTGCATACCTAAATTCACCTTCGAAAGAACATTTTATTCTCAAAAAGTATGCTGGATTTTCTTTTAAAAATATCATGCTATCAGGGGATTATCCCAGCCATATATTCGAATTGGAAATCAACATCCCACACAGGTTTTCATGAGAATTATTGTTCAATAATGATAAAAACTTACAGCTTATGTATGTTGGTATATATGAAGTTCCACTAGAGGTAGGGACGTTATCTAATGTTGAACAGAGATAATATAGTGCTCAATCAAAACACAATAGACCGCTGGAAAATACAAAGTTCGAAAATTGACAAATAACTAAGCTGAACGGTCGAAAACTCAAAACGAAATGAACATAAACACCATTACCAAACAATGTAAACAAACCGCCAATGGCCCATAGAGTAGTACCGACATTCACCGTTCTGGCGCTACGATCTTAATCTCAGTCGCCTATAACACCGAAAAAATTTGAGACGTGATTCTGTGATGGAAATAATGGTGGGTATTTGGTGTAAAATGTTTTTGAAAAACCTCTCCCCGGAAAAATTACATCCTTCTGAACATTGAAAATAAGGTTTTATTTTTTATTTCCCCTGTATATCACGTTGACTTCCATGTCGGTCCATAGGACGGAGAAAAAAATATCCTGACGTGCCAGACCGTTAGCACGTTAAAACAAGGCCAGCAGACTCTGACGTAAACAGCTCGTGACGTCGCATACTCAGGCCATCTTCCAAGGCATTCGCGTCGATCGATCGTCAGTTTGAATCGCGTGTGCTCGAATTCTCTTGTTGTTTATTCATCAAAATAATTGGCTGAGAAATTACTGTTTTGTGAAATATTTCGTGTTGTGATAGGCGAAACAACAATGCCTTACAAGTGTTGTGTTCCCTTTTGTCGGCGGAATTATGTGGGTGGTCCAAAAGTTCATGCTTTTAGTTTCCCGTTGGAAAAGGAACTATCGAAAAAGTGGGTACATGTAATTCACCGCAAGGATTTTACGACTCCATCTAAGTACAGTAAAGTATGTGAATTACATTTTACTAAAGATGATATTATTACTTCATCTACTGCAACCGATTCAAAAACTGGCAAAACTGTAACAATAGATTTGAAAATTCCTAGGCTCAAACGAGATGTTATTCCCACTCAATTTCCCAACTGTCCATCTTATTTATCGAAAGATGTAAAATTACGCACAATTCGTGATGAAAAACTTGAGATACTAGAGACTAAAAATTTGGCACAAGCACTTACCAAAAGTAAAACTGAATTCGAAAATTACCAAAAATCATTTTGCTACACAGAATTTCAAGAATTTCTAGTTGTATTAGAGTCTTTTCGGTTGCCCGAAAAGTGGTTCAAAATTATCGATTTGCAAAAAGTCACATTATTCAGATTGTCTTATTCTCCAGGGCCCGTAATTACATATTCGGTTGTGATTGATTTTGTTTTGAATGTGGAATCATTTTTGTATGACCTAGCGATACAAACATCTCTAAAAGCCAATCTGAAAACACCTTTCATCTCTAATAATATCAATCAAATCAAGGAATTACTAATTGAAATAGATACATAATTCGGGAAAATGTCTTGATAATCAGAAAAAGAGGGTTTTGAATGCATTGGACTCTTTGGTTTCTGACTCAATACATTCTCAACTTTCTGAAAACGGTCATTTGCCTCGTGGCAATGAATGCAGAATTCATTCCAATGATCAAATTGCAACTATTATATTAACATGTACTACAAACACTCTACTTAAAAATTACTGTTTCAAGTCTAACGACCAATTGGGTGAAAAATCCAACAACAGGAAATTGAAAACACTCACTGGCTAATTTTTTAGGTAATAGGAATTCTCCAAGATAAATATAGGTAATTAGGTATAACAAACGGCATGTCTATCAAACTAAAATACATTTTCCCCAATTTTCTTTCGATCAATCTCATGATAAGTTTATGTTCTGCGGGCCCTGTATAAGTAGGTGTGAAGTTTACCTCTAATGAGATTGAATCACTACAATTTTTGCCAATATATTTAATTCGAATGGGTTGCTTTATATAGGTGGGTATTTGTGTTTTATTCTGGTTTTTGCTTTGAAACTTCGTTTTTCCATAATGAAATCGAATGGGATGCTAAGATGGGCTCAGTTGACGGCTGGCATCCTCATTCAACCGGAAGCCCTTAAAAAAAAGCAAAATCGGCTCAATAATGATCTAAAACTAAAATCGAAATACGCGGTCGCCTTATAGCGTTATAAGCGCTTGTCGTTTCGAGCCGCTGGTTAGGCCTGACTAAGTGACGTCACCCACGGAGCATGCAGGTCTTGTTTTATCGGTGGTAACGGCCAAGGTTGATACACCAAGCCGACTCGGCCTATGAGACCGAGTCATTTGAACGACTCGTGAAGCCGTCGTTCTGAATTATTGTCTATAATATCGCAGAGAGTGACCGAGATGGCTTCAGTGACACTTTTGCATTGCAAATTATCTTCATCAGACACACAGACCGAGTCGTAGCAGGCAAATCAGTATGAACACAGAATGTTTGGTAGAGGTCGATACTGTGAAGTAAACGTTAATTCAGTGGATGGAATGTAACATTATTTTTTTAGGAAATACAACCGAATATAAGTGTTCCATGAATACGTAATCTATTTATTTGTATGGAATTTGTTGCAACAATCCAGGCATAATACAGGTTCTTCAGAACATACTTTACAGAAGGTGCGTATTCTTTTCAAATTAGGGGTTGATCTCTATCCTGATTCTTCCTTTGATCTCTAGTAACACTCAGTGCAAGGTCTACGTTTTTCATACGGTCTCTAGTGAATTCTTATGATCTCGAAATCTGCTCATTTTCTAAACTAAACAAATATCACTTACACATTCACCGAACATCGAATGAACAACGAGCTGCTTTCCCAACCAGTGTAGAACAATCGGGATACAAGTGACACATTCAAAAAGCAATTTGAGACAAGTATTTTGTACAGCGCTAGATCACTAGACCGAGGCCGAAGTTGGCCGTACCGAGCTGCCGGACGAAGGTATACATATATGTACAGTGTCATTCATAAAGTCGGCATCATATGGGAAAAACTTTTAATAATGACTTATTTTGAAATTCGAGTTGGACGTCAAGTTTTGCTTCAAAGAAGATGAAAAATGGCCTACTCAATCGGGGTCACGTGACTTTTGCTACATGTCAAAAGTGACATTTTTTCAAATTAATCGCTGAAAGTAGGCTTATTTTTTCGAATATCGAAAAAGTTCATTGGAAAAAGTTGTTTCTATTCAAATTTTACATATGTGACTCGGATTTTATCTCTCTATTACATTTTTTAGATTTCGATATTTTTTTAAAATTTTCGATATTTCTGTAATATTAAAATAATTGTAAATTCGATAAAAGTACTTCATACCAGTAGTTTCATCATGCTACTAACTTTCAATTACTAATTATCACTAATCATCGACAAAAATATGATTTTCTTCAGAAAATGATAATCTCCGCTTCAAAATTCTGTTATGTTTGATGCAAACATAACATCAAAATTCTGTTATGTTTGAGTCAGACATTTAGAAACGAAATTCATTTAAATTTATTTTTTCAGTACTGAAAAGATCAGTTTAAATGAATTTCGTTTCTAAATCCTTGACGATATATCAACTTTGCATCAAACATAACAGAATTTGTAAGCGGGTATTATCATTTTCTGAAGAAAATCATATTTCTGTCCATAATCAGTGATAATAAGTAATTGAAAGTAAGTAGCATGACAAAGCTACTGGTATGAAGTTGTTTCGTGGAATTAACAATTCTTCAAATATAACAGAAATTTTGAAAAATTAAAAAAAAAATCAAAATCTAAAAGTTGCAATAAAAAGATCAAATTCGAGAAGCATGTGTAAAATTGGAATAGAAACAACTTTTTCGATATTCGAACAAATAAGCCTAATTTCAGCGATTAATTTGAAAAAATGTCACTTTTGACATGTAGCGAAAGTCACGTGACCCCGATTGGAGGCCATTTTCCATCTTTTTTGAAGCAAAACTCAACGTCCAACTCGAATTCCAAAATAAGTCATTAATAAAAGTTTTTCCCATATGATGCCGACTTTATGAATGACACTGTATACACGAGTGCCGAGCTGAAGTCTTTGAGTTTTTTGGGTCCAGGGTTCCAATTATCAAAAATTTCTTCCGCTCTGATACCAACAGTTTGAATATGAGCCCGGCAAATGCTAATGTTTAAAAAAAAACTTTTAGAGATCAAAAAGAGTAAAGGAATTGGGCTTTTCAGCCAACATTTTTTTATTCAATTCAACCCCTTCTAAGCATACTTCAGGGTTGAATACATTTCAAAAAGGATATTTACCAAGTTTCATGTCTTTAGCTCAATATACAGTGATAATAGAAGAGAATAACCTTTTTTTTTTGTTAATCTTCAGAGGGGTATTACTTTTCCTGGGAGAGGTTAATCGAAAAATGTTTTGTAATATACCTTCATTTTCTTCTTCTCTTCTTTACAAAGGGGACAGACATTGATAAAATATTTTTTCAACGTGTTTTATCAAAAATAATTTGAATTTACTGGCTTTTATGGTCATAAATCACCTGGGAATAGGCTAAAAATGTATTGGAAATACATTATAACGAAGATTAGGGATCTGGAGAAAGTGCATATAGATAGTTCGTTAAAAAATAATCTGAGAAAAAATATACTTCACAGATTATTATGAAGAGCCAACTTCAAGGTTTCTACCAATTGTGAAAAAAATGGGGATATTATTCTTATCATGTTTATTATTCCAATGATTCTACACGGTTCAGGGCTGAGAACAAAATGTGTTTACTCATCAGATTTTGTTTGTTATGAAATGATAAGCAGATGTTAATATGAGGTGCTACTTGGATTAATCTTCTAAACATTCTGACGCTCTTCCCTAAACCACTTCATTTGAATAATTGCTCTGGCCTGAAAGATATGTTCAAGGCCAATCACACACTAGAATTCAACTACCTATTATTGATAGTCATATTTTTTTGTAGCCAGAAAACAAAAATGAAACTAAAAGAGAGAAAACTATAGATAAATATTAGGTACTCATATTTTTATAATCTTTATGTATAGAAATGAGGGGAAAATTCGGAAGAACTTACCAGGAACAAAAGGATTGTTCAATTCCTATCTTGCAATGTAAACAACTATAAATTTTTTCAACTCTTGGAGCGCACGAAAAGACATTTCTCTCATGTTTGGAAAATATCGTGCGTACCTAGGGAGGATAGGGAGATTATATTGAGTTCTTGGGAACGTGACGTGCATGGTAACGTCAGCTCAAGTTCATTCTGTTGAGAGGTCTGTGGAATTACATGAATGACAAGAGCTTCCTTATCTGTGAATCTGCGCTGATGTTAAAGACTGGATAATTATTCAGTGGATTTACAATTTTAGGAGAAGTAATCCCTTCTTCTAATCTAATCTTGGCCAGGTATATGAAATATTTAGGGGTGAGGAACAAGACTATCCAACTTGAGCAAACTAACTTATCCATATGGCATTTTTTGACATAGAAACGTCGGTCAATGGAAGTATTTTTCGCGATTCAATTACGCGTTTTTTTTCCTTTTTTTTGCAAAGTCCAAGAAAAGAAGGATTTTGAATAAATATTTATACCTACTTATTTTGTTATTTTTGAATCTGACCGCCAGCCGATACATTTTCTGCCACTTATTGCAGGAGCAGCAGATGTAGTGCTGTTCAGTTATAAGTTATTGCTGATTGTTCACAGTGATGCCAACCTTTCAAATACGTTTTCCCTACACAGACCTATAAAAATTCCCTACTTTGGGAAAAAAAAACTCCCTATAAGTCATTCAAAATCAAATGAACCTTATTTTTATAAAGCTGATTCAGCAAAGAAAATCTTTCAAAACACAATTATTCCACTATGTCCGAATGTCACTTACCAAACCAAACCAAAGCCACTTACAGAAATAATCATGAATATTATATCAACCGCACTCTGAACTGACAGACTTCGTCTGCTCTTTAAATTCAGAGTTATCATAGGTCAGATAATCGTTGGGGCTGTCCGGTCACAAGAACAGTAAGAAAATCCCTACAATTCTTGATTATCCAAGAATCTGTCCCTATAGGCACAGATTAACAAAGGTTTGTTTACTCTGTGCTATTCGCGGGAATCAATGTTACCAGGTGGCGCTCGGTTTTCATCGTTCCATGTCAAAGCCACGTCAAAACTGGGGGAAAACAAACTCAATCCTCACTCAATCCCATTAGTGCCATTAGCTTGTGTACTGTGTACTGATAAGAGTGATGAGTTTTTAACAACAGTGCTAACACTTTATGTCATTGACAAGTTTGACAACTACAGCTACAGCAAGCTGTATGCAATGTAGTCTATGCACTTTATCCATAGACAACAGTTTGTTTTCCCCCAGTTTGAAGTTCGTATTATGTAACCTAGATGTCGCCCACTTCGTGAATCTCGTGAATAGGGATACATCCCTACACACCCAAAATCAAGCAAATTATCCCTACATGTAGGGAATATCCCTACGGGTTGGCATCACTGATTGTTTATGTTGTGTTGGCAAAATTCCCAACAAGTGACAGTTTTGGCTGTTCCGTGACGAGAAACATGAGTGACAGCTGTTCCGTGCTCATAACGTTACTGCACCATCTCTTCTCCACGCGATTTCCATTACAATCCATACATTTTCCAGAAAATAAAGGAAACCAAACAATTCTGGCTCAACCTGCCCTACCAGTACTGCAACAACCTCTCGCTGCTCGACCCCTCGAACGACACCGCCCCCTGTTGGAACGGCACCAACACATCTCCAACCCCCACACACCCCCGCACCTCGGACGCCCCCCTGCTGCCCCCTTTGCTCAGCGAGCAGACCTTCGCCCTGCAAGGGCTCACCGACAAGCTCCGGAAGGCCCACCAGGGCCAAGAAGTCGAAATGGTGGACGACACGGAAGAAGTTCTCGACGGCAGTGGCTCCGGGTCCGGCGACGGTGACGAAGAAGATGATGTCGAGCCACCGTCCCGGCCCGACGAGAAAGAAGAAGAAGAGGAGGACAGGGGGATCGTGTTTACGGCCGAGGAAGACGGGAGGAATAATGAGGTTGTGGCGCCGGTGCCGAGCAGTACTAGGGAACCGGAAGTGGTGCGCGCTAGTGGCGGTGCTAGGACTGTGGAGGGCATGTCGTTGCAGAGGGCGCTGGTGTGCTATTTGGTGCCCATCGTGCTGGCGTGGTTCGGGGGCGCCATCACGAATTTGCTGTGATATGATGATTTTTTTTTGAAATATTTTTTGTGTACAGTATATGTAAGCGGTTTTCAGTTTTAAGATGTGGGGGCTTTCTGTTGGCGTTGTTGGTAATGGCAGTATGCTGGCATGAGCGTTTTTTTTTTCATGAAAGAAAACATGCTTAAATTTTCCCATAGCATCCTGGTGTCATACACTCTCTTATTTTCTTGAAACTATTTATGAGGTCTGTTCCAATTATATGGATTGCTCTAAATATTTTAACTTTTTAATCATTATAATCAGACATTTTCTCATAATAATGACTTTTTTATCATTATAATGACTTCTTGTCTCATTTAAATGACTATTTCCTCATTATAATGGTCTGTTTATGAACATTATGAATTTCAGAGGCACAACAAATCCAGTCTTGATTTGAATGTAGATATATTTGGTGCACACACTACTTCTATTGGCAGTTTGTTCCATGCCTCAATGGCTCTGTTGGATAGGAAATGGAGTCTATGGGATGTCCTAAATTGTTCTTTCTTGATTTTGTATGGATGACCTCGGAGGCGGGTGTCGGTGCACGCAGACGACGTGTTTGGAGAAATAGATGTAAGCTTCAGTTTTTCAAGACGTTCCTTGTATGGTAGGTTTCGTATCGATATCGGCCAACGAGTCGCTGACCTTTGAATCCTTTCAAGAAGGTTAATATCTCTCACGAGCCAAGGGGACCATACTGATGCGGCAAATTCAAGCGTGGGTCTCACATATGTTGTGTACAGTTTCTTAGCTAATTCAAGCGTAGGATTGGAGAATATTTTCTTGAGAAGATAAAGTGATTTATTTGCCTTCTTAGCGATGTTCCGACCAGCTTAAATCGCTAGTTACAGTGACACCTAGGTCGACCTGCGAGTTCCCGGACATCAGCTGATTACCACATACACTATACGTGAGTTCCGGATTTGTTTTTCCGATATGCAAAATCGAGCATTTATCAACATTCAGGGGGATGAGCCAGTCGACGCACCATTGGTTTATTTTATCCAAATCAGATTGGAGGGAAGCACTGTGTGTTAGCGGGTTTCCGAATATTTTGGTATCATCAGCGTACACACTAGTTTGGCAGTCCAGTGAAAACAGCATATCAGCAGTATAAACTAGAAATAAAACTGGCCCGAGAACGGAACCTTGTGGAACACCACTGCTGGCTTTACATGATATTGATACGTCTTTACCTACTTTCACACGGAATGTTCTGTCACACATTATTCATATTTAATTTACATTTAGTTGATATTTGATGTAATAGTTGAAATATCAGTCTTACATGTAAGCATTCATTGAATCTCACTTATTGCTTTCATTCAATTTATATTTAATTCACTAATAATAAGATAGCCAACTTTTCATTGCAATAAATTAAATTGAACTGAGCATGCGCCCGTTGTTACGAAAATATGGAATAAGTTGTGCATTGAGCATCAGCGTCAGTTGTACCAATAATTAAATTATAAAGTTATTTTTATGAACAGACCATTATAAGTTTGTTATCATTGGTTATCATTATAGTGACTTTTTTCTCATTCTGATTACCTTTTTCTTTATATGATGAGTTTTATTACAGAAGATACAGTATCAATTTTTTTCTGGATACAAGAGACTGAAGATTTTTTAAAATCAAATTCACCTACCTACAGTTCCTCACTGGACTATTTGTAATAATTATTGTAATGATAATAAAAAAGTCATTATAATTAGAAGAACGTCCTCATATTAAGAACAGAAGTCATTTAATTTTTTAAGAAAAAAGATTGTACCAGGTTCATCCTTTTACTGAAGTTTGCTCATGTGAAATATTAATAGATTTTTTTTTGTGTTAAATATCACTGTTACCAGCAATAGCAACAGAATAGTACAGCATCATACAGCTATAAAATTCAGATGGGGTTGATATTTTTCATGTTTAGTGTGATGTTAATATTCCTATGAAAAATTGACACACAATTGACAGTTCAATCAAGTTTGAAGTGTTCCAAATTTGGGTAGATTGGTGTGAACTCATGAGGGTTTTTCCTACAGAATGTATTTAATATTCAAAAGGCGCCCGTTGGTTTTATGTTCAAATGCTACTAAGGCCTGGAAGGAACACAGGAAATAAAAAAAATAAAACTTCTAAATTCTGAGTCATAACTCGGAATTTTAAAATTCCGACTTATATCTCGGAATTTCACATCCAATATTCCGAGTTATAACTCAGAATTTTAAAATTCCGAGATATAAGTCGTAATTTTGATGTAAAATTCCGTGTTTTACATCAAAGTTCCGAGTTATAACTCGGAATTTTAAAATTCCGAGCAATAAGTCGGAACTTTGATGTAAAATTCCGAGTTATAACACGGAATTTTACATCGAAATTCCGACATATCTCGGAATTTTAAAATTCTGAGTTTTAACTCGGTATTTAAAAATTCCGACTTATATCTCGGAATTTTACATCCAAAGTTCTGAGTTATAACTCGGAATTTTAAAATTCCGAGCAATAATTCGGAACTTTGATGTATAATTCTGAGTTATAACACGGAATTTTACATCGAAATTCCGACTTATATCTCGGAATTTTAAAATTCTGAGTTATAACTCGGAATTTTGGATGTAAAATTCCGAGATATTAGTTGGAATTTTTAAATTCCGCGTTGAAACTAATAATTTTCAAGTTATTTTTTTTTTATTTTACGTGTCCCTTCCAGGCCTTCGTAAAATGCTGACTTTGAAAAAAATATTATATTTAGTTTTCTATTTTCTATGAGAATTTTCATGGGTTTCACACTAATTTTATGAAATTGGCACATAATGAGAGATAACAAAAAGAAATATATCAGAAACCTGCAATATTTGCAATTCTTGTTGCTAAATTGTGTAAATAATCTTTGTACATAATTAATTAATGAAAAAATATGTTGAATGTGAAACATTAACAAAACAAAGGGACCCATATTGCATTTTTTACAGAGACAGTTCTCCATGATTTGGTGTGCCTGTAACTTCCTGTGTTTGACAGAGTAAAAGACTTTAAAATGTTGGTTGCAAAAAACCAATTAATGCACTGAGTGGAAATGATATTTTTTAATATTTATGTAATATTGTGATAGTATTTATGAGTAAAGAATTGAATTGCCATGAATTCAATAATAAACTTGATGAACGTGAAAAAACTTGGAAATTTTATTTGTTATGGTTACCCCGAGGGTTTCCCTCTTGAAATATTTATTCACCTATTCCTTCATCTGTACATAATTATTTCAACATTTAACTGAAAAAAACAAGAACTTTGCATTAAGATCACCATATAACAGAAATTTGAAAAAAAATAATTTGGTGCCATCAATAATTTCTCTGAAAACTGTTACATGAAATTAAAACTTTTATCTGTTTCTAGAATTTGCAAGATCAGTTCAATTAATAGAAGATTCTATATCTTATTACAATTGAAATATTATATCTGGTGAGATATGTAGTTTCAGATATAATATAGTAAATATATACAGGGTGGCCCACGGTCGATGGTACCTTAGACGTATACGGAAAACGGTACATTGGATCATCCTGAAAATTTGGTTATTCTAATAAACGTTTGTGATCTAACGATTCAAAATATTTTCAGCGAAGCAGCGTTGCCACTTTTTCCAAAAAGTAGCATCATCTTTGTTATCTCAAATGAAACACCCTGTATTTTATTCCGTTTTCAGATTCTTCTCGGAGAGCTGATTTCATAAATGTATCACACTTGGGGTCTAGCAGGAATTATTACAGAGATATAGGGTGTTCAAAATCGAGATTTTTCAACTATAGGATTTTTTTGTGTCGAAACTATTCATCATTGGTCTAAACGGCTTACATGTCCCTATATTAACTTTTGATTAACTAAATACCGACATATAATTGGAAAAATTACAGGATGGTCCAAGATTCAGAATTTTGATCACTCTGTATCCTGTATCTGTTCCAATTAAATGTCAGTAAATAGTGAATCAAAAGAAGATAGGGACATGTAAGCCGTTTTGATCGATAATGAATATTTTCGACACAAAAAATTCCTGAAATTGAAAAATCTCGATTTTGAACACCCTATATCTCTGTTATAATTCCTGCTAGACCCCAAGTGTGATACATTGATGAAATCATCTCTCCGAGAAAAATCTAAAAACGCAATGAAATACAGGGTGTTCCATTTGAAATAACAAAGATGATGCTACTTTTTGGTAAAAGTGGCAACGCTGCATCGATGAAAATATTTTGAATCGTTAGATCACAAACGCTTATTAGAGTAACCAAATTTTCAGGATAATCCAATGTACCGTTTTCCGTATACGTCTAAGGTACCATCGACCGTGGGCCACCCTATATATATATATATATATATATATATACCGGGTGTCAACGAATCTATTAGACAAGTCATAACTTCTAGACCATTAGGTGTATCAAAATGAGATTTTGTATAGGTAAATAGTATGTGAAGAGAAGAGTTTTCACATATTTTTCACTTTCTGGTCACTTCCGGTTTCACCGGAAATGGTTCCGGTTCTAAATTTTTAAATGGAATACCCTGTATATTGTAACATTTTTGGATTTCTGAGACAATTCTAAATCAGATTGTGACATTTTCGGAAGTTTTTATGCCTACTCAATTTTTTCGGAGTCCCTTTTGAAATTAATTCTAGGTGGCCATGACCGGAAGTAAACTAATCTAAGGACCTCAGGTGATATCAGAAGATTACAATCGCGAAGTTTTAGTGACCAGTATGATGGATATGAATAAGACGAGTTGGCAAAATTACATTTTCGTGCCTAACTATTATATTTCAAATGACGACCATTTTTTGACAAGCACTTTCCGAAAAAAGGATATTTTGACGAATCTAACGATACTAATTTATTTGCGATTGGATTACAAATAAGAACAAAAATTAAATATTAAACATGTATCTCGAACAAGGAGGAGTGCACTTGGGAAATTTCAAGAAATTAGGGAATTGAAAAAAATTTAAGTGCATCGATGAAGTTATTATTAATTTTGTTAAATCTGTTGATCCAATCGCAAATAAATTAGTATCGTTTGATTCGTCAAAATATCCATTTTTCGGAAAGTCCTTGTCAAAAAATGGTCGCTATTTGAAAAATAATAGTTAGACAGGAAAATGTAATTTTGCCAACTTGTCTTATTTATTTATCATACTTGTCACTGAAACTTCGCGATTGTAATTTTCTGATATCACCTGAGGTCCTTAGATTAGTTTACTTCCGATCATGTCACATTCTGATCTAGTATTGTCTCAGAAATCCAAAAATGTTACAATATACAGGGTGTTCCATTTCAAAATTTAGAACCGGAGCCATTTCCGGTGAAACCGGAAGTGACCGGGAAGTGAAAAATATGTGAAAACTCTCATCTTCACATACCATTTACCTATACCAAATTTCATTTTGATACACCTAATGGTCTAGAAGTTATGACTTGTCTAATAGATTCGTTGACACCCGGTATATATGTTTGTGGAGAAATCTCAAAACCCAGTCATAACAAAATAAGCAGATTCTGAAGTCTTGGGACCAAAAATATTTTGAAATATTAGTGAATGCATGATTGGTCATAAAGAAAAAAGAGGCTTTTCAAAAACTATATATTTACAAAAATAAAACACATTTTCTTCATATAAATGAAATCAGTCAATATAAGAACTGGGCCTAGTCTTGATATATACATAGGCTACGATGAAAATAAAAACAGCAATTAACCCAGGCACAACAATAGTCTTCACCTGCTTTTGCATGTCTGCCATCTCCTTACGCCTCTGCTTTTTCTCCTTAGAGGTTTCTTTAGTTTTTCCATTTTTTGCCTGCCGCATTTTAACTCTGAAATAGGTACCTAGGTAAGTGAGAGTGAGTATATATCATTAGGGATATTCATGTTTTTCCTTCAAAATGAAAGCATATTTCAATTGATTTCTGGAGGTAATGAATGATATGGAAAAGGAATATTCTCAGATATATTATGAACATGAAAAAAATTGAGACAAATAAAGAAATACATTGAGAATTGGCATTCTGTATGATGAATATCAATTTGTCAAATGATATTGAAATCACTAACATATGGAAACTCAATTTTTGAAATTGCAAACATGGAATCAAGAAAATCATTGAACATGAGCATTAGTAATTACTTTCATTTATAGTTCCTTGAATTTTGCTGAGAAAATACTATCCATTGAACTTACATTGAGTAGTTCAATGGTCCCAACCTGAGTAAATATACCTAATTTCCATTCAAATAAATTAACCAGTAGTTATCAATGAAACTGGAAACAAAACAACTCACCTGCTTTTTCAACACAAAAACTAGAAAAATTCCCCTGCGAACAGTGAACAGATTTTAATTGTTTGTTATAAATTTTCACTTGATTCTGCTGTAAGTATATCCACCTTTCTCAGTTTTTGCTGACGTTTCAAAAGTTACGTTATTTATTTATTTATTATTTATCTCCTATCTCCTTTCATGCTCCTTTCATGTGACGGTGCCTAACACCACGGTACACGGTATTTTCCAATTTTTCCACTTAAATCTCTGTTTACATTCTCAAACGGAAGAACAAATGACAGAAAGCTAGTGGAAGAGATGGAATTTCATTGCGTAAATTACATGGGCTTGCTACCAGCCAACCTAGTATTTATTGTAGTTGATTAATACATGTTATTTAATTCGGAGCTTTATACACGGCCATTACGGGATAGATTGAGGTTAGTTAAAGTTTGACAGTGACAGGTTTTTGTTTAGATTTTCGATGTTTTGTTGATGTTGTTTATTTTATAAGCAATCTCTAAATGATACCAAAAAGATCTAGGGATCATGGAAGACGAAATTCCCTACAATGAACTTTATAAAGTAGGTGACCATCTGATACTGAAGCTGTGCTGCAATGACATATTTGAAGGGGACTTTTCTGCTGGAGGCAAGAACCGTATTGACTTGATAAACACAAAACAACACAACAATCCCAATAAACTTGGGGGCATCCTGTCCTTCTACAGAAACGAAATTGACAACATACACCAGCTGAAAACTAAAATGACAATAAAACCAGAGGAGCCTATTGAAAATGATATCCAGGATCTTAAGAAAATCAATATGGTTGAGGAGGAGTATGAGCGTCTTAAAGAGATGGCTAGGAGCTATGTATATCTAGAAAATGCTGATAACCGTTATTATGAGGCAGTCAAGTCCTTAGGAGATGCTGAATTGATTGGAGTTGTGGCCCTTGGCATGGAAGACAGCAGAACAGCAGTTATCAAGCTACTGGTGATTTGTAACTTCAAGCAAGTGTACATTTTTGATATGACCAATATGAAAAATAGGAGTTTCTACCAAGAGCTGAAGGAAATTCTAGAATCTGAATATACTTGCAAGGTTGTTCATGGAGGTGGCCCCCTGATAGACATCCTTTACAGAAATTACAAAGTTTATATGAAGTATGTTTTTGACACACAGGTGGTTGATTTGATCATTGAGAAAAACAAAAAACGCAAGATGTTGTCTCAGATGAGAGATATTTCTGAGTGTCTTGTGGAGTATTTAAACTTTCCTTCCTCCCTACTGAAAAATGCTCTTGATGTTACAATCAAACAGTGGGCTCACAGACCTCTGAGTGATAGAAAGAAACTTTATGCATCACAGTTAGTGACATACCTTATTACTCTGAAAGAAGACATGCAGAAGATATTATTTAGTGAAATGTATAAGGCCATTGAAAATGTACATGATCACTATTACTACATGAACTGTTATGATTTTTCAAAGAAAATGAGGGATAATAGTGTGAGTGAGGACATTGAAAAACTTATACCTATGTTGAATAAAAGTAGTTTAGATACAGAAACTGAAAATGTAGGTAGTGTATCCAGTTCTGGAACTAATGTGCAAAAGATGTAATGTTAAATATCTAAAAATATTTTTTTACATAAATAAATAAAAATGAACTAGGAGTTTGATTATCACTATTATGTAATACCATGTAATACCACAAGTGATACTAAGTTTTGGTAGAGCAAGTCTAATAATTTTTAGGTAACAAAAAATATCACTGTAATAACAGGAGAAATTCTGATTGGTTCTCAAGAACAAGAGTGAAATTGTCAACAGTAAAACCACAAATTACTGATGGAAAATATTTCAGTTAGTAAGGAAATATATCACTTACTAGCTGACCCGGCAAACGTTGTTTTGCTATACACATATCTCAAGAAAAAAAATTTTCAGTTAAATATTTAACAACACACTTTTACCATTTTATTTTCTACTTCTTTTTAGTGTGGCTATCTATCTATCTAAGTGTTCTTCAAAACACTATTAATTACAAAGCCCCTAGATGACAATTTTGAATAGAATCGGATCATAATTATTAGATCCATCTTGAATTTCTCCATTTTGACGAAATAATCATAATTTCTAAGCCCGAAAATCCCCAGATACCAATTTTGAATAAAATCGGTACATAATTACAATGCTCGCCCGCCATATTGGATTCGCCACCTTGAATTTCCCAATTTTTATGAAAGAATCATAATTTCTAGCCCCAAAAATCAACAGTTACCAATTTTGCATAAAATCGGAACATAATTGCAAAACTTGTCCGCCATATTAGAACCACCATCTTGAATTTCCTAATCCTGACGAAAGAATCATAATCTGCGACCCCAAAAACCCTCAGGGATCGGATCGGATCATAATTACAAAACTCGTCGCCCTATTGGATCCGCCATCTTAAATTTCTCAATAATTACGAAAGAATCATAATTTCTAATCCCGAGAATTCCCAGATACCAATTTTGAATATAATCGGAACATAATTGAAAATCTCGTCCGTCATATTGGATCCGCCACCTTGAATTTTCCCATTTTGACGAAAGAATCATAATTTCCTACCCCAAAGACCCTCAGATACAAATTTTGAATAGAATCGTATCATTATTATTACAAAACTCGTCCGCCATATTGGATCCGCCATCTTAAATATCTCAATTTTGACGTAGGAATAATAATGTCTAACCCCGAAAATCCACAGAAATTTCCTGAAATGTGAGAAAGTGCCATCTAGTGAGCATATTTGATGTTCCAAATTTTCAGAAATAAAGCTAGAAGAACAACAAAGGAGAAAAGGGGGGTATACCATGAGTCAGTGTCACCGAGTAAAGAAATAATTATAGGAGAGTTTTCTTTGCCAAAGTAAATTTGACATTTCAATGAAAATTTTGTTGCCTGGAAATTAAATGAAAAAATGGTCTTTTTTCTAGTTTAATTTTCTAAAGGCAACAAAACGCAAATTATTCAAATAAATGAATAAAATTGAACAGTACCTACCAGTTATAAAGACTGTAATGTATAGTTACAAATTATGAATTATGTTCACAACATGGAAACCAATCAAATTTTCAACTTGATTATCACACAGAAAATTGGTTGGAATAAGATGGAAATACACATTGACCTAAATAGCCCAGGAGGGGAACAATTATAAAATAAAAACCAATCAATTTTTCACCTTGATTTAAAAAAAAATAGACTTACAGAGTGAAGTAATTGTGCATGGTGGTTGAAACTACCGATTTCAATCACTGGTCCATTTCAGTCACTCCAAAAACGCCATGCAACAGCCTGGCCGCCGGATTGTACATGTGGTGTTCCTTATCAGCCACATAGACGTACGGGAGTCTCATGATCCAATAGGCAGACTGGGTCAATTTGATCGGACCCTCGTTGGTGGCAACGAAAACTGGGGCACCAGGAGCAGGCTGAACCTGAAAAAAATTCAAAGAATTTACTCCCGAGATCTATACAGGGTGGTTCAGATTTTAGTACATTAATTACACTCGAGAAATGATGGAATTTCTCTTGATGAACACATCTCCAATAATAATAATAATAATAATTAAGTTTATTCAGAATATTAATTGAATTCAAGACAGAAGTACTCAATAAATAAAAATGTATTTTTTTTTTCATTCAATCATTGAACATAGGTACTTTCATGATTATTTCAAATTTCCTAGTAATATAGATATTAAATAATCAGAATCAGAGAAGCAAAAAAACTCCTTGAAGAGACTATTATCCATGTAATGAGTTCCCTACTACTCTCTGATACAGTATTTACAAAAATGAAGTCACAAAAATATTCTTGCTTTTTTTCAGTGTAACAGTGTAACACACGAACAACTTGAAATTTTCAACAGGAAATAGGAAAAAAATCATGAGGAGACCGGAAATTATGTACTGTTCATCTGAAAAAACAATAAGATGTTCAAAAAACCTCTGGGTGTTTTTCTTCAATTCAAACCGAATTTTCACAGTTTGTGAAACCTTTGAGGCATCCTTTCAACATCTCAAAATTTACTCAGTAGATCTAGAAATGTGCCCACGGGGAAATTGGTTTACTTTTGTGTGCGAAAAATAACATCCAGTAGATTGCTTCCACTTGTTGTTTTTTTTTAACGAAGTAATTGAAAATAACTGTTTCTAGATTTTTCCTACCTCAAATATTTTTTTCCGATAAAGAGTTAAAAAAAATTAATAAAAATCAACAATTCATCATGTTCACGAAAATAATGAACTTGTTTACATGCTTTTGATTTGGTGAGTGCCGCCAAAGTGCAGCAGCAGCAGTATTTAATTTGTACACAGAATGATTTCAGCTTGATTTTGGTGTAAAGCTTTTCTCATTCTCTTCAATGCATATAAAGATTGTCAAAATTAGAAAATAAATACAAACTTCATAGTAGTGTTCAGCTTCCAAGTTAGACATTGTATGTACCTGAATCCTGACTGACTAGTTTTTCTCACCTTTGGATCCAATGTGCAATGTACGGGGGCCTTAGGTGTGACCACGTGCAGTCTCATCAGCTGGGCCAATCTGTTGGCCCTACAAGCGCAAGGGTAGTACAGAGGCATATCGTTCTCTGCTACCTTATGCCCTGTATCCTTGACTATGCTGCCGGGCATAGCTTTCAGCATTTTTTCAGGACTTGCCAACATAAACCTGAAAATGCTCTTGCTAAATCAACCAACATACCTACCTCTTCAAATTATACAAGATGTTTGGTTTTACGTTCAATTATAAACTATGTATTATTTGATGAGTGATATTTCTCTAATAGTTCAATTTTATTTATTGTTGTTTGACGGATTCACCTCCAACAGTTGTTAGTATTTGGGAGATTTGATTCTTAGTACTAAAACCCAAGGGCGTCGCCAGAGAGGGGCAGGGTGGGGCAGCTGCCCCCCCCCTACGATTAACGCTCACCAGTCACCCTGCTATCATAGAAACGACTATTTCATTCATTACATAATCTGACCAATCACAAGCCAGAGAAAACGTGTGCTTATCGCGAAAACTAGATGTTTTCAACGATGTAACCATGGGTAGCGAAGCGAAGTCTGTCAATTTGGCAAAAAATAATGACTGTACTTGTCAGAATGAATCATTCATTCGAAATAAATGCTTCTTTGCTTCGTGAACGTGAAATAGTCTCCACTCTGTTCTGAATATATTCTCATAATTCTTCATTTCCTTGTCAAATCTATTGTGTTGCCGTTCAGCCCTACCTTTCGTCCTGACTCGTGGTGTTGCTCAGCAACACAATTTCGTGAACAATGAGGCGACAGAATTATATCGAATATTAAGAATATCATGATAATACTTATGATAACGCTCACTTTGAGCAAAGAACTTCCGAAAGTATATTCTTCTCCTGAAGTTGAGGAGGCTCTGAAGATCCTTGTTGCCTTTACCTTGTAGGATTTGTACAGTTGAAAGGTCATTTAGTAGCCTTAGGAGAATTAAAACCTGGTGGAGGAGCACCATGTATGATGCTCGACTCAATGGCCTCGCAATGATGAGTATACACAGGCAACATATTTTCAAAAACTTGAACGATTTCGTCAAAAAGTGACCAACGAATTCCCAAAGAACTCTGGAAGATTATTTTTCAACTGATTTACTGTATAGATTTTTTTCTGTTTTTTGATTTTCTCATTAAACTCTTTCTATTTGATTTTTCTCTTCAGTTTTTTTATGGTGCCCCCCCCTATTTTTTCCGCTGGCGACGCCCTTGCTAGAACCTAAACTTTTGATTGATTTTCTTTGAATGTAAGTACAAAACTTTGTATTCGATTCATGAAAGTTTCACCTACATTTTTATTTCTAGTAGTGAATATCAATTTTCAACTTCAAAAATAAAAATCGCACTTTTTGAATAATTATCTGCAAAAGTATAATCAAAACAGCTAAACACAACTTGTATAGTGTGATCAAAATTGGTCTATTTTAACAGGGAATTTAATCAAATAAAAGGAACAAAATACAGAGAAATCAGTAATGGGACAGAACAATTCACAGTTAAATATTTTTTCACCTGTGTCCTGATGAGCATTCATATTCCACTCCTATGAAAACCTTGACGGTGAATTGGGGTAATGCCCCCGTAGGGCGCCCCCTCCTTCCTCTAGAGGAATATTTACCCACGTGGGGCCAAGTCTGCTTAGTTTTTGAATAAACAGTAACGTCCCACGGGAGCAGATAGTTCGTGGAACTCAGAAAACCGGGATGATGACTTTCTGACAACCCTAAAAAATACAGAAAAGACAACATTGATTTGAGTCTCAAACCCTGAAGAATTCCTGAAATATAAAATAAGGATCATTGATAAACTAGGCAAATTTTGAATGAAGTGATGACAAGAAAAAAGCAATCCATAGAAAATATATTGGAATAACGTTTTCGACCAATTAAAAGCCTGTGTATTTTGGATCGTTATCATATCATACCAACTGAATTAATTAATTAATTTCCTGCCATATGAAACATATAATCTTTGTCCAAATGTTATAAAATCATTGTTGTGTAAATTTTTTTAATTGTAAACTCCATCATTTTGTTTTCACTCAATGTCAGTGTTAATTTTGATTACCGATTTCATTCAAATCACTTGGAACATTCCATAGCAACAAACTTTTTCTGCCTAGGCACATAAAGTACACCTTTGCTGCCTGATAAGTGTCATAGAGAAGTGTTGAAAAGGAATATTCTCAGATGAATTATGAACATACAAGAATGGATATATATTTATATAAAACAATACATTGAGAATTCGCATTCTCTATGTGATGAGAATATTTACTCTTTTTCAGTTAATTCAATAGAAAACAACTACTTTCCTGGCTATATGCCACGACGAACATTGAATTATATCTATTGAACACACACGATAAGAGTTTGAAAATAAAATATAAAAATTTCTGAAATTGAGAATTTGCATTCTCCTTCAGACAAAAATATGTATATACACACATCATTCTGAATGTCAATTTATCATACACCCAAAAGCAAAAATGTCATAGAGAAGCCACTTTTTATGCCGTTTGGAGAAAAATATATTTCTACCAGTCTTATTTGCTGAATGAATTTGTGAAACACTGAGCTACCATTGACTTATTGTTTATAATTTCATGTAACTAATGTTATGGATGTGAATTTTATTAACACCACATATTGCTTTGAGTTCCTTGTGACAAAATATGTTTCCACCAACTTTAGTGTGGAATGGAGTTAAGCAAGACTTATAGTTTGAACTATCACCAGCTGCCCTATCAATATTTTGCGCAACTAAAGTCACTATTTGGTATTTCATTCATTTACTTATTCTAGTATTTTTCAAATAATATTTCGATGTGGAATATTCTTACCGAATACCACTGTAGCTTCAATTAAAAAACTATTTTTTTTTTCTCGAACACGAATATTCAAAAAATTGGCGTACTCTAAATAATTGTCGATGATTCTCGTGGTATTATAAGTGATAATTTGGTGTAGGTTTGTGTTTCATAAACCATATTTTGGACCGCCATGTTACCAAAAAAGACAACTATTCTCATTTTATTAGCAAACAATTGAGAGAATTGGTGACAGACTCAGCAAATGGTTGATGAAGTGATACAAAAAATTATCCCAATAAAATGGTACTTTACCCAAATTATGACTATACAGCGAAGAGGCCCCCAAACACACCAAAGACCAGCTGGAATAAACAGGTAACAACCCCGGGGGGGAACTCAAAGTCAGCATCCCCGGCAAGCATTCCAAAGCGCCTACTTTCTCCTTTTCACCCTCCAATAACGTTTCGCCGCCCTTATCAGGCTTCGACCGGTTCTCTTCCGAGTCTTTCGCATGTTTGGGTTCTTTGGTGGAGGGTTGAAAGGTGGGAAACGAGACTCGTTCTAGTTTGGCACACTGGCACTCTTTCGACATCAGCTGGTAGAACTGGTGGTTGGCCTGTTTCGCGTTGTACGGGTCTTCGCGGGGGCCCACCTTTCTGCCACAATCGCAAATAGCTGGAAAATACAGAATGTTTGCTAGGATAGACAGAAGCCTGCAAAATGAGTTGGGTTTGATCAGAAAAAGAATTCGTAACGGCATCCTTATTCAAACAAAACAAATATTAGAAACATTTTTTACGATTATGTTGAAACTATTGGCAACATTGTCATGAAATTTTGTAAGATAGTTTCACTACACACTGTTTAACCACTAACTAAACCGATTTTCCACATTCGACACGTGTATCGCTAAAACTCATTTTTGATTTCCGATTTTTATTAGATTTTCAAGATCAAATTTCTCGTTAATTAAAAGGATTAGCAAAACTCTTGGGATATCCGTTAGCCTATATTTCATTGATTTGCTGAATATAAGAACTCATTTCAGAAACACCTCGTATAGATAGGATAATGAGAGAAAATGTCCTTAAATTTTTTTCACTCCACTCTGTATACCTACTATCGATATCGGAATTATTCATACTTGTTCGGGAATTAATCGGTTGAAAGCATGACGTAACTAATTAGTCATTTATTGAATGATAAATCAAACCAATCATCAGTATCGTTCTAGACTTCATCGTGTACGGTCGATTCAAGTGGTAATAAAAAAAGAATTCGAAGTATTTAAGAGTGGAAAATTGGAATTCATATTCGGCTTAGTGTTTAGTGATTGTATTTTCATTTGAGTGTGTGAAAGTTATATTTTTTCAAGATGGTAAGTGTTTTTTTAGACTATACCGGGTGAAACTGATTCATGGTACACCCCACGTTTCTCGTTTGTGTTTCTAGCTATATTTCTGAAATTTGAAACATCGAATGTACTCACTAGAGGGCACTATTTCACATTTTAGGATTTTTTTTTCATCTTCCGGTTTTACTGGAAATGACATCCACTTTCGATTTTCAAATAGGACACTCTGTATTTAATTCCATAATCAGTAAGAGATTATTATAACGAATTCAACAATACCGGGTCTGATAGGGTTACTTCAAACGACTACGTTTCCATAAGCTCAATGAGTGTGACAGAGGAAGAAGATTCTATATTGAACTGTCACTCCCATTGAGCTTATGGAAACTCCGGACGTGAATATCTTCGTAACCTAGTGCCTTCTAGTGAGCATATTCGATGTTCCAAATTTCATAAAAATAGCTAGAAAACCAATGGAGAAAAGGAGGATATACCATGAGTCTGTGTCAACCGGTATATGAAGGCATAGTTTGCTTCAATATTATCATATAACGATGGAAAAATTTTGGAATTCGCTTTCTTTACCTATTTATACAAAGGATCTAGATAAATATTATTGCAACAAGTCGCAAAAATACTCGCCATTTTGTTATATTAATTTAGGATAGAATAATTCGCCTTGCTAACTTATTCAGAGGTACTAAAAATAGGTATTGAAATGAGTTGAATTTCTTCCGAATTGAAACATACATACAGGGTGATTCACCATAAATGTCCCCCCTTCTAGGTCAGTTATTTTTGAGCCGATTGCAAAATTTTAAATATCATCTAAAATGATTTTAGATAGAGTTTTTTTCCGCTACATCAGAAAATACAAGGTGCTCGAAACAGATGATCTACAGGGTACTATTTGATTTTCAAATGGAACACCCTATTTTTCATTGTATCTTTAGATTCTCCCTGAAGAGCTGATTTCATCAATGCATCATACTTGGGGTCTAGCGAAAATGATTACAGAGATATAGAGTGTTCGAAATCGAGATTTTTCAATTCTAGGATTTTTCTGTGACGAAACTATTCGTAATAGGTTGAAACGGCTTTCATGTCCGTATCTCAACTTTTTATTCACTTTCTACTGACATTTAATAATTGGAACAGATACAGGGTAATCAGAATTCTGAATCTTGAACCACACTGTATATGTCCCAATTAAATGTCAGTAAAATATACTATAAAAAAATACTAAAGTTGAAAAATCTCGGTCTTGAACACTCTATATCTCTGTAATCATTCCCGCTAGACCACAAGTGTGATGTATTGATGAAATCAGCTCTTCAGGTAGAATCTCAAAATATAATGAAATACAGGGTGTTCCATTTGAAAAAATCAAGGAGTACTCTGTAGATCGTTTGTTCCGAGCACCCTGTACTTAATGATGCAACGGGAAAAAAATTTCTGAAAAATAATTTTAGAAGATCTTTCAAATTTTTAAATTGGTAAAAAAATAAGTGAGCTAGAGGGGGGGACATTAATGGCTAATTACCCTGTACTTTATTGAGGTTATCTTTGTCATTTTTCGATAAATATAGATTTTTCCGTATAAATCGATTTATATCGACAACGGCAATATTAAGGTATAGGACATACTTCATAAAAATTGAGGGTGATTTGGATCTGGAACCGTTAATGTAAAACATACAGGGTGTTCCATTTGAAATAATGAAGTTTCGGCATCTTCAATCTCGTCGAATTTCCCCATTTAACATTGACAGTGTTCAAGGTAAATAATTCTGTAACGAAGTGCGATAGATATTTTTATTACATGAAATACAGACATTTTCATTACATGAAGCACTGACATTATTTTGGCTCACGCTTTCAGCCCTATCATTTACGACATGACCTTTCCGGACACCTTGTATAAAATGATGTGTGTCTGAAAAACTACGTCAACGCGGTATTTTTCCATATCATCTTCTGTCACAGATAAAATTTTATTGTTCGGGAATTAATCGGTTAGAAGGATGACGTAACTAATTAGTCATCAGAATAATGAATCAAGCCAACCATTCATCAGTCGGATATTAGATTTCGTTGTGTACGGTCGGTTCAAGTGATAATAAAAAAGAACTCGAAGTATTTGAGAGTGGAAAATTGGAATTCATATTCGGCGAAGTGCTTAGTGATTGTATTTTCATTTGAGTGTGTGAAAGTAATATTTTTTCAAAATGGTAAGTGTTTTTTTATAATATACGGGGTGAAAATGGCTCATGGTACACCCCACTTTTCTCCTTTGTTTTTCTAGCTATATTTCTGAAATTTGGAACATCGGATGTACTCAATAGAGGGCACTATTTCACATTTTAGGATTTCATTTTTCATATTCCGGTTTTCCTGGAAATGACATAAACTTTTGATTTTAAAATGAAACACACTGTATTTTATTCCATAATTGTTGATTTCGTGCATGAATGCAATACAAGGTGTTCCATTTGAAAATCGAAAGTTGATGTCATTTCCAGGAAAACCGGAAGAGGAAAAAATTTCCTTAAATGTGAGACAGTGCCCTCTAGGTCGCGAAAATACTCGCCATTTTGTTATGAGTTAACACAAATATTTTAAAATTACGAATTCATTTAGGATGGAATAATTCCCTTTGTTAACTTATTCAGAGGTATTGAAAATAGGTATTGAAATGAGTTGAATTCCTTCTGATTTGAAACATATATACTTTGTTGGAATATCTTTGTCATTTTTCGATAAACATAAATTTTCCGTATAAATCGATTTATATCGATAACGGCAATATTAAGGTATAGGACATACTTCATGAAAACTGAGGGTAATTTGGATCTGGAACCGTTAACGTGAAAGATACAGGGTGTTTCATTTGAAATAATGAAGTTTCGGAATCTTTAATCTCGTCAAGTACAAAAGTACTGACATTATTTTAGCTCACTCTACCAGCCCTATCGTTTACGACATGACCTTTCCAAAAACTCTGTATAGAATGATATGATATTTTACGAGAGTACTGCATATAGAGGTTTATGAGATATTTTCGAAACACTTACTGTATTTCTTGTCACCATCTGTAAAACTATTTTTCCATATCATCTTCTGTCATAGATACTGATACTCAAAATGTCAGCAAAATGTATTTCTGCAATCTATTTTCAATATAATGATTTTCAGTTTACATTTCGCACATACATATAAACACTAATTTCAATGATATTCATATCAACACTAGTGTAGTTATAAAAAAAACAATCATTTTGCTGAATTACAGTTTTTTGTAGCCATTATTCATGTATACCGTGTGAATCAATTTAATCTATCCTACTTATGAATTCCCGTATACTGTGCCCGTCTAAATTTCACTTGATATATCACAACGAAATTTGGAGGGCTCGAATAGATGATGGCTCAGTGCCATTTTTATTTAATACACTTCACTCCAAAATTCGATAGTTTTCGAAATATCAACGTTTGAAAAACTGCCAAATAGTCTTGTAGTCGTTCTTGTATGCATTATCGATAATAATTTAACTCTTTTGTTATAGGATTGTTCACGGAAAGTAATTCATGATGTGAGAAGAAATTGTATCCTCCACAATGGTGAGTGTTTTTCTGTATTCCTACTTCATACCTCATCATGATGTTTGTTTTCATATTCATTGTATCACTTACGTACTAAAATTCAATTCATTTTCATTTCTTCAAAATTGATATTTCTCATGGAAGGTATGGTGGGTGGCCTGTTTCGCGTTGTACGGGTCTTCGCGGGGGCCCACCTTTCTGCCACAGTCGCAAATAGCTGGAAAATACAGGATGTTCGCTCGGATAGGCAGAAGACTGCTAAATGAGTTGGTTTGATCAGTAAAAAATTCGTAACCGCATCCTTACTCAAACAAAACAATTATCAGACACATATTTTTTACGATTATGTTGGAACTATTGGCAACACTGTTATGAAATTCTGTAAGATGGTTTCACTACACACTATTTTACCACTAACCAAACCAATTTTTCACATCTAGACGCGTGTTTCGCTAACTATGTTAGCATCTTCAGGAGGAGATTGAATCTCAGTTTTTATTTCCGATTTTTATTAAATTTTTAAGATCAAATTTCTCGTTGAATGAGAGGAAATATCCTTAAATTTCTTTTCACTCTACTCTGTATACCTACTATCGATATCGGAATTAGTCATACTTGTTCGGGAATTAATCGGTTGGGATGACGTAAGTATAATTAGTCATTTATTGAATGATGAATCGAACCAAGCAGCAGTCTCGTTCTAGACTTCATCGTATAC